CAAGACAACTGAAAACACAAAGTGGAAAGAGAATTTAAAATTCAGGACAGAATTTTAAAGTTTGTGAAAGTGGAGCACATGTAGTGGATATATGAGTCAAGGTTATCTAGGAGAATAGGACCACGATGATAAAGTGGGAATTTCTTTTGAGATTATGAAAGCCAAGGAGTCTCAGATTCTACTGTTTTCAAGCTAAAGAAAATGAAGTCCATCAGTGTAATTCAGTCTGAGCCCAAGGTTTTGAAAACCAGAAGTGCCAATGCTCCAATCACAAAAGGGAAGGAGGTGATGGATTTACCCACTCCAAAGAGAAAAGAATTCTCATTTTTTTTCCAGCACCATTTATTAAAGAGGCTATCTTTCTTCCAGTGAACATGTTTGGCCCCTTTGTCAAAAATAAGGTGACAGTGTGTTTGTGGTTGTCTGCATCTTCTAATCTGTTCCATTGATTTTTAGGTCTGTTTTTTTTTGCTAATACCATGCTGATTTTATCACAACCTTTATCACAATTTTTATCACAATCAGTACCTTTGTAGCAGAGTTTTGAGTCAGGAATTGCAATTCTGCCTGCCTTGTCTTTGTTGCCCAGGATTGTCTTTGCTATTATAGGTCTCTTTTAGTTCCAAATGAATTTTATGAATACTTTCTCTAGTTCTGTATAGTATACTAATGGTATTTTGATTGGGATTTCATTAATCTGCATAACACTTTTGCAAGTAGGATCATTTTCACTATATTGGTCCTTGCTACCATGAGCAAGGGTTATCTTTCCATTTTCTGATATCCTCTTCAATCTCCCTTTTTAGAGAGAATTGTAATTTTCAATATATAGATCTTTTACATCCTTTGTTATATTGATTCCTAAGTATTTCATTTTGGGAGAATGCTGTTATGAAAGGTATGGTTTCCCTAGTTTCTCTCCTAGGGAGTTTGTTGTTTGTGTACAGGAATGCTATTGATTTTTAAGTGTTGAATTTGTATCCAGCTATACTACTGAGTTTGTTTATTAAATCTAGAAGTCTTTTGGTGGAGTTTTGGGGGTTGTCTATTGTTTTGGTTACTTTTCTCTTGTTGCTGGGACAAAATACCTGATGCTCGAAATTAAGGAAGGAAAGGTTTATTTCGCTTACAGTATGTGGAGCTTTCAGTCCATACTTGGCAGGTTACAAGGCAGAGTGGCACATGGCAGAGGGCTACAGCTCATGGCAGCAGAATACAGCAAAAGCAGCAAGCACACAAGGGAGGAATGAATGGTGGCGGCAAGCAGCCTCTTCCTCTCCCTTACATATGCAAACTATCCATCCCAGGGCGGGTGTAGCTCTCACACCCATAATCAATCAAACTCTAAAAGCCTGCCCCATGACCACATGAGGCTTTGGGGGGGACACCCAGATGCAAACCATAACATCTATGTAGAGTATTATGTCATCTTTGAATAATGATAATTTAGCTTCTTTCTTTCATATCCTTATTCTTTTTATTTCTCTTTCTTGTTTAATTGCTCTGGGTAATATTTCCAGAACTATATTGTATAGGAGTAGTGATAGTGGACATCCTTGTCTTATTCCTGATTTTAGAATGAAAGCTTCAATTAGTGTGTTTATAAATGTGTATGGAAATTATATAATATAAATATTATGTATATGAATGAAACACATACATTCTCAGCAGTGACAGTGGAATTTAACTAGTGGCTAAGTACTCTTTTAGTTTCATACATTTTTCATTGTCTTGATTTTACAAAACATGCACTCATTTAATTTTAAAATGGAAATCAATACTAATAAAATAAAATAAAATAAAATACAGAAGAGCCAATATGAAAACACTTTCAAATGCAAAGTTCTAGCAATGCAAATTTACCATAGATTTTTATTTTTTTTTATTTTTTATTTTATTTATTTATTTTTATTTATTTATTTTTTTTTTGGTTTTTCTCCGGTACCAGGAACCGAACTCATGACCTTGCGCTTGCCAGGCAGGTGCTTTGCCACTGAGCTAAATCCCCAGCCCCATAGATTTTTATTTTGTTGGCCATTTTTAATATTTTCTTTTTGATCACTTTTATCTTGTATAAGAACAAACATTCACTTAAAAATTAAACACAAAATATTGAACGATAATGTGAAATATTAAAAAAGTGTAGAATTAAAAATATTAAAGTATCTGTGTCAGTTGATGGCTTTTTTGTCACAATCATATGCATAGAAATTAAAGTACATAAATACAAATTTCCAGATAGTGACAAGTGTTTCCAAAACAAGTAGTAATTGTGAAAAAATTGAAACCCACTCCTTTATAACTTTGTTGACTCTCACTTTTACAAGATGGTTGAAGAAGTCAAAGTATTTATTAGGAATAGTCAACATACTGAGACTAAAAATATACTTTCATGTAAGTAGTGATTTGGCCAGTTGATTATTTTGTCAAAATTTTCGTAGTTATTCTAACCCATTTTTCTTATTATATAACCATACAAGTCCTATGAAAAATAGTTATTCAGTGAGATTCTGATAGTAATATGAGATAGAAGCTCTAAAACAATTTAAAGTGATTGCATATTTTTCTATTTCAGATATGTAATAATTTTGGTAACTGCCAATGCTTTCCGGACCACAGGCCTCCTGATTGTGAGTTCCAGCTTGGTTCACCAGGGGGCAGTATTGATGATGGAAATGTCAAATCTGGTAAGTAGAAAACAATCATTTAGGGCAAGAAGAAATGTTCCATTATTTGGCTCTAACTAAAAAATTCCTTTTCTGAGTAACATTTTTCATGATTTCTTGACTAATGCAAACAGTTATCATGAACAGTGCCTTTATTTAACGTACGATTATACAACATTTGCAATTAGATTTTTCTCAGAGACAGTCAACTTTGATAAATAAAGTAAAAATACTTCTAAGTTGCAATAAATGTCATTAAGTACAATTTTAAATATTGTATGTGGAATAATAAAAAATACATAGCATTCACTTAATATTACCAAAAACTATAGATTATCAAAAATTCATTGTGGCCAGGAATATAGCTGAGCAGTACAAGCGCCTACCTGGCAAGTGCAAGGTCCCGAGTTTGATTTCTGGTACAAAAGAAAAATTCAGTGTGGATTCTGAATGAAATTAGAAAAATATAAATGCTTATATTTATTAGAGAATACTAAATTAAACAAATTTTGAGTGAGAGAGCACCTGTTTATACTTCTTTCTGTCTCTAAGCCTCTAGGAAATAGCATAAGCTGTTGATTCAGCTACTAGCTCAGTCATTCATGCATTCTATCCACAAGTATGTTATTGGGTATCTGGAAGGGCAACAAAATTGATATCCATATTTCAAAATCTCTACACAAGCAATAATAAGAAGGTTTGATAATATCAATGTGAATAAAGGTAAATTATTTACAAAGAAATGACCTTGATTATAAAGACCTGAAGTACTGTGGATAAAGAAAAAGAAAATAAACACAGAAAATTGCTATGTAATGCCAAATATTTGTTAAAAAAAAAAAAGTAAAACATAATGATCAACTATATGGCTACATGGAGAAAAAGGATTAAGGATGATATCAAATTTTCTCTACAGAATCAGAGGATGGTAAGAGCATGAATATAACTTTGTGTGGAGAGCAGTAGGGTTCTTCAGTGGGAGAATTCAGGTGGAGATGCCACTTGCATTGAATAATAGTGTTTCTCACTTATTGGGGATAACAGGGAGTGGTAACCCAGAATTAATAATTAGTTTGCACAAGCAAAGTAGTTCATAGAGTGGCATAAGTATGCACAGTGAGATGAAAATAATACACTGCATATAACTTCAGCAAGCAAGAGTATTTTAGAAGCTAAATCTCTGAAGAACTAATAATTACTGAAGAAGAAAAAATTGCAAAGGATGTCTATTTCTAGTCATGGAAGATGGTAGTAGAAAATGATATAAAATATTTGTCAGCAAAGAAGATTATGTGATCCTCAAAAGAGGCAAGCATGGGACCACAATGGGGTATTGCTGAGATGGTGTCAAACATTTTTCTATATACATGCATTGGAGGATTCCAGTGAAAACAGAATATACAGAAAGAGTGTTTTCAAAAGCAACGACTCCAAAGTTTTCAAGCCATTACACTATTTTTAGAGATTAACCAAAGGCACATACACCAGAAAGATTTTATTCATGAAAACTACTTACCACAACAAGAGTGTGAACAAGTGGGTTTCATCTCTTCATTGACTATGTCTCTCAAGGCCTAATTCTATCAGCATGGAACTTCAGACAAAAATAGGCAAAAAGTAAAAGCTTTGTGTTGCTGCTACAGAGTGAGGGTGGAGTTAAGGATTTTATACAGTTTCTCTGTTCACTGGAAACTGTGTACTCAAGAGAACAGGGCTGACCAGCTGCCCCTTGAGGCTGCAATCACAGCCCTCTTTAGAACAAATGACAGATCTGAAAATAACTGAGAAATTAACAGTAAGTGTCTTTGGGAAGTTACTACATTCAACATCACGTTGGTGTGGGGAGGAAGTCAGAAAGCCACATGCATGACTATGACAAGCTCATGCTAGAAAACGCCCCAAATCATTAGCCTTCCCAGGTGCTAACTCTTCACTCAGCAAAAGCCTGGCTGAGTGTTGAAGAAGGGGTAGTGCAGACTCACTCTGCAGTGATCAGGAGAAGTGTTTATGTTTTCTTTTCATTTTCCTTTCTTTGGGTGTGTGGTCATTATTATTATCTTTGAATTTAACTCCTGTTCTTTAAGTCGTGACTGTCCAAACATGATCTCAACAAAAGTTGAGAGAATCCTAGTACAGTGGCCACAAAGTCTAGGACCATAGTGCTTACAGAAAGAGTTGGGAAAGTTACTACACAAGTGTACTATAACAATCAGGAGAAATGGAACCCCCAATAAGAGAAGCAGAATGAGACTTCCACATTTCTGTGTGTTAATAGTCAAGTGCCCAATTCTGAGCACAGCAAAAGTGCATATGGCTTGTCCTATTTATAGGAACAAAATTACTTAACATAAACTACATTTGAGGAAGCCCCAGAATAAGATATACCATGCAAAATCTTCAAACCACTGTCTTTATGTATCAAATCCCTAAAGGAGAAGCATGGATGGAGAACTAAAGTTGATAAAGGGAAAATGTATGAACAAAATGATAATATCAATAAAGACAGAAATTTAAAAATAGAGCCAAACAAATGCTGAAGCTGAGCAGTACACCAACTAAAATGAAAACCTCACTACAGAGGTTCAAAAGCAGATTTGAACAGACACAGAAAGAACCAGTGAATTTACTTCTAGCTGCGGGTGGCTTAAGCCATTCAAGAATTGTCACTGATCATGTAACGTGGAAGTGAGAGGTGAGTCTCGCAGGACTGATGTGAAGGCAGCTGAAAGACTTCACAAACTGTAATGCTGAATGTGGAGGAACATCACTTTCCAGAGTAAATCTTCAGAATGAATGAAACCTCTGTATTTTGGAAGTGGACACCTGAAAGTAGTTCCATGCACCTGTGGGCCAGGCAGGGTCAGGAGTTTCGCACACACTGTGTGCTGCTGGAGCAAGAAAAAGTCATGGATTACTCAGTTTCTCTTCCTGAGGTGCTATACTGAAAGAAAGTAAAAGTCCTCTTTGGAGAATGGCGTACCTTTCAAACTTTTGTTTATCGTTAATTATCCTCCAGCAAATCCTTTTATTGTTGATCTTCTTCCCAGTTTCAAAGTGCTGTTTCTTCCTTTAAGTCCCACCTATTCAATTCAACCTATTGCTGAGGGAATTATAGCACCCCTTAAGAACACACCTAAGGTCAGTGGAATAGACTAGAAGATGCAGAGAGAACTACAAACACACTGAGTCACTGTGTCTTTGAAAAAGGGGTGAAACATGTTCACTGGAGGAAAGATAGCCGCTTTAACAAATGGTGCTGGAGAAACTGGCTTTCTACATGCTGATAACTAAAACTAGATCCATGTCTATCACCATGCATTTTACTAAAGTAAAAATGGATCAAACATCTAAATATTAAAACAGAAACTCTAAATCTATTGGAAGAGAAAGGAGAGAGAAATCTTGAGACATAGGGGTAGACTGAGAGTTCAAGAACAAAAACCAAACTGCACATGAAATACTTCAAAGAATCAACAACTGGGATCTTATCTTATTAAAAAATGTTTGCACATCAATGGAAATCACCAACAGAGTGAAAAGGAAACCCACAGAGTGGGAAAAAATTTTAGCCAATTGTCTCTCAAAGGACTTCTATCTAGAACATATAACAAATTGAAAATAATCAGGTCCCCCAAATTCAAAGACCCAATCCAAAAGTGGTCAAGTGAGATGAGTACACATTTCTCAGGTAAATAAATACAAATGGCAAGTCAGTACATGAAAAAATGTTCAACATCACTGGTCATTCAAAACATGCTAATTAAATTAGCATAAATTTTTATGAAGTTAATTATCGTATATACAGATTAACAGACAAACAGGCCAAAAACATTTAAAACATGTAAGATAATTATACTAAATCAAGGTACACTTTTAGTTACATTGTCTGTAATGGATTACAATAACTTTTTTTTCTCTTTTTCCTATTGTCTGTCTTTTTTGCACTTTATTTATATATTTGAATATCTCATATGAGAGTCCGTGAGGTACTTAAGCTTGTGTGTCTGATTTACTTGACTTAACATGGTCTCAAGGTGCATCCATTTTCTAAAAATGACTTAAATTAATCCTTTATGAAATAGTACTCCACTTGTATAGGTTTACAGTTTGTTTTTCTATTCATCTATTGATGAATATGTAGGCCGCTTCTAAGACTTAGCTATTATGAATTGTGCAGCTATAAGCTTGGGTTTGCGTACATCACTGTGATAGGATGCTTTCAACTTTTCGTGAAGATAAATAGATAACAGCTGAGTCAAATGGAATTTCTAGTCTTGATTTTTTTTGAGGAATATCAGTACTGTTTTCCATAGTGACTGTACCAGTTTTCAATCCCACCAAAAACTAAGGCGGGTTTGTTTTTCCCTGCAGCCTCTACAACTTTAGTTATTGGTTGACTTTTTTTTTTTTTTTTTTGGTACCAGGAATCAATCTCATGACTTCGTGACCAGGTAGGTGCCGTGCCTCTGAGCTATGTTCTCTGTCCCTGGTTGATTTCTTGATGATAACCATGCTTTGGGAGTGAGATGGAAGCTCTATGTTGTTTTAATTTACATTTCTCAAATGGCCAGTGATGTTAAACCTTTTCTCATTTATTTATCAGATGTTTGCATTTGTTCATCTGAGAAATGTCTTCTTTCAGATGCCCATCTTTTATTCTGTCTTTAATTTTAGGAGAATCTATTTTTGAGTTATTTATATGTTCTAGGTATTAGTCTTTTCAGAAGTAGCTGGCAATTTTTTTCCCATTTTGTAGACTGTATCTTCACCTTCTTGGTGGTTTCCTTTGCTGTGCATAAGCTTTTTAATTTGATGTGAGTTCATTTATTGATGTTATTTTTGGATGCCATTTTTTGTACAACTGGGTAGTGTTCAGAAAGTCTTTTCCTACACTTATGCCTTCAAGGTTGTTACCTATTTTGTCTTCTGGCAGATTAACTGTTTCTGTCTTAATATTTAGCTCTGAGATCAGTTTTGATTTTAGCTTAGTACATAGCAAGAAATATAAGTCTAGATTCAATCAGTCTTTGGCATGTTGATAACTAGTTTTATTAGCACCATATATAAAAGAGGCTATATTCACCAGAGAAAGGACTTGGTTCTTTTGTCACAAATGAAGTAAGAAGTCTTTTTTTTTTTTTTTTGCCAATACATGCTGTTTTGTCACTGTAGCTTTGTAGCATAACTTGAAGTCTGGGATTCTGATGTTCTGTGCCTTGCCCTTGTTGTCAAGAATTGCTTTTGCTAATCTAGTTTCCTTCTGGTTCCATATGAATTCTATAATTGCTTTATCTAGTTCTGTGAGGAATGCTATTGGTACTTTGATTGGGATTGTTTTAAAACTGTGTAACAGTTTTGGAAACACAGCCATTTTGACTGTATTGGTTTTTCCTCCCCCTCCTGCTCCATTGTCTGTTATATTCTTTGGTCTCTTATTTTAGAGTACTACAATTTTAATTGTAGAGGTCTTTCACTTCCTTGGTTAGGTTAATTTTTAAGTATTTCATTTTTCTTTATGCTATTGGGAAAGGTTTTGTTTCCCTAATCTCTCTTTCAGTGAGCTTGTTATTGGTGTACATGAACACTATTGAGTTTTGAATGTTGATTTTATATCCTGCTACACTACTGGAGCTGGTTATTAATTCTAGGAGTCTTTGGGGGAGTTTTTAAGGTCGTCTATGTAGAGGTTCATGTCATCTGCAGATGATAACTTAAATTATTCCTTTCCTAGTCATATAACTTTTTTTCTTTCTCTTTTCTAATTGCTCAGGCTCAGGTTTTGACAACTATATTGAACAGGAGTGATGATAGGAAATATCTTTGTCTTGTTCCTGATTTTAGAGAGAAACCTTTTAACTTCTCTCCATTTATTATGTTGTTGGCCATTGTCATGTCATAGATGACTTTCATCAGATTGAGTTACAAATCTTTTATACCTAAGGTTTTTATTATGAACATATGTTGAATTTTGTCAAATGCTTTTTCTGTATCTATTGAGATGATCATGTGGTTTTTGTCCTTGCTTCTGTTAATGTGGTGTATAATATTTATTGGTTTTATGTTGAACTATCTCTGTATTCCCAGAATGAATTCTACTGAGTCATGGTGTACAATCTTTTTGATGATTTGCTACCTTCTGTTTGCCAGTATCTTACTGAGGATTTTTGCATCTATATTTATGAAGAACATTAGCTTGTAGTTCTCTTTTTTGTTTGGGCTGTTTACCGATTTTGAAATCAGGGTAACTCTTATATCCAGGAGTGACTTTGCAAGTCCTACTTCCCTTTCAATTTCATTAAAGAGTTTGAGAATTATTGACATTAGATCTTCTCTAAAGTTCTTATGGAATGTTCAGCACTGATTCTGTTGGGGTCTGGGCTTTCTCAGTGGACATTTTATTACTTGTTCAATTTCATTGACTCATATTGGTTTACTCAAGATTTTCATATCTTCTTGACTTACCTCTGTTAATTCATCTGCATCTCAGAATAATTCCATTTCTTTTGAATTTTCCATTTTATTATGGTACCCTTTCTCATAGTATTTACCAATGATCTTCTGGATTTAAGTAGTATCTGTTGTGTGTTCACCTCTTTCATTTATAATTGCATGGATTTGGAGATTTTCTTTCCTTATTTTGGTAAGATTGACAAAGAGTTTGTTTTGTTTTATCTTTCAAGTAACGAACTCTTTGGTTATTTTTAAATCTCCATTTCAATAATTTTTGCTGTGATCATTACAATTTCCTTTGTCTAATCCCTTTGGGATTACATTGTTTTTGTTTTTCTAGGACCTTGAGGTCCATTTTTGGATTACTATTTGAGCTCACTCTTTTTTTCTCTTGTGGGAATTTACCTCTATAAACTTTACTCTTGAGACCACTTTCATTGTGTCCCATAGGTTCTGGCATTATCATTTAATTGTAGGAACTAATTTTTTCTTTAATTTAGTCTGTGACTCACTGATTATTCAAGATGGTATTGTTCAATTTCAATATATTTGCATAGTTTCTGCGGAATCTTTACCCATTGATTTCTAGTTTCATTTCACTATGATCTGACATATGCACAGGACAATTTCATTCATTTTGCATTTATGTAAGCATGCTATATGGTCCAGTATGTGGTCTATTTTGGATAAAATCCTATATGCTAGTGAGAAAAATGTGTATTCTGTTGTTTTGGGTGCAACACTGTAGATATCTGTGAATTTCATTTGTTTGAAGGTTTAGTTCAACTGTGATATTTCTTTGTTGACTTTTTTTGGCTAGTGGATCTGTCCATCTGTGACAGGGGTATCATAGTCCCCCCAACCCAATTATATTGGTGTTTGTCTGAATTTTTGGGTCCATTAATGTTTGTTTTATGAAGTTGTTTGTATGGGCATTTGTTAAGTTTATGTTTATAATTGCTATCTCTTCCTATTTAATTGCTTCCTTGACCGATACATATTGCCCTTCATTGTCTCTTATGGGTCAGTCTTGGCTTGAAATCTACTTTGAAATTATGATATCTACTTCTGCTTTGTTCTAGATTCTATTTGCATGGAGTACTGTTTTACATCCTTTGATTTCTAACCTATGGGTTTATTTTTGAATTAAATGTATTCTTGTATACCACATATTGTTGACTTTTGTCTCTTGATCCATTTTACCATACTGTCTCTTTCAGTAAGGGAAATGAGACCATTCACATTGAGAGTTATCACTGAGAGATACTGACTCACTCCTTGTATCTTTTTTTGTTGCTGTTGCTGATTTCCTCATTTTTTCCCTTTTTCTTAGCTGTTCATCCCTGCAGGGTTTGTTCATCATTTTTGCCTTATACGCATTATCAGATCTTTTCTGTTTTCCAGGAATCCACATTCCTTTTTTTTCTCTTCTTCCCCAAGTTGTTATTTTCCAGTGTCTGGATTACAAATCTTAGAAAGTCTGAACTGATTTTGCTTACTGCTGTACCATTTTCCCAGAAGATTCTATGTACTTTTCTAAATTGTGTAACACCAGATTTTAAAACATATAAAAATTCTTAAGGGGATAATTTGTACAATGTCAAAGAAAGGGAAATATGTACACATGAATACAGACACATTATGGATATGGATACAGAGATAGACACAGAAACCAGTGGAATAAATATGGATTTTCTTTATATGAGTAAAATATTAATACTAGATGGGCAGACATAAGTCACTTAAAACATCTTTTCTCCAAGGATTCAGTAAGGGGATGGCTGAAAGGATTTATGTTTTTCTTTTTATTAAAAATTTACCTAAAGCCCTATTAATATATTAATGCTATAAAATTATTTTTATTTAAATTAAAATTTTTGACTGGCATGTAATATAAAATGGTAAACATTAATGAGCTTGTGCTACTGAGCTATATCCCTGGCCCTGGTAAACATTAATGAGGTACCATGTAATGCTTCAATACATATACACATTATAAATATTTAAAACATGTATCATTTCTTTATGAGGAAAGTATTCAAAATCCATTCTTCTAATTTTGGAACATTTAGTATATCATTGCCAACTGTCATCACCCTACTGTGCAGTCTCAACCTGGAACTTCTTACTCCCGTTTTAGGTAAACCAGTATCCTGGGATAGGAAGAGCTTCCCTATAACACTTGGATCTTTGACAATATTGCTATGCAAATGAACCAAGAAAATAGCTCACAAAATGTACACAGCACCACAATATTTAAACAAAGATACATTGATTTAAGTTTCTATTTTTTTTATCTTTTGTTTTTAGATATAATATTCATTAAAGAAGGGTATAATGTACAACGAAGCAATTGGATTATTTTGAATTTCTTCATTTTTCTGCCAGTTTTCATGCTTGTCATCATTTCGTTTATTAAGATAACTGAAATGAGAAACTCGTGCATCACAGAGAACACAAAGTATGAAGGGTAAATATGACTTATGTGGTTACTTTAGTAGGAGAAATTGTGCTGATCATGACCAGTGTCACAAGTTCATACTTGTGTTATTTATCATGGTTTTTTTTACTACTAAGTGCTGTGTTTAATCTAACATAAATGGAATTCTTGCAATTTCATTTTCCAGTAGTTTGTTGTTCATATTTGGGGCAAGTGAAGAATCTCACTGCCCATGAGCCTTTCTTCCTGAGTGCTCCACACTGCACTGGGGACTTGAAAGTCAAGAAGATCAGAACTGATGTGTGAGTCTGAGTCTGCATTCTAGTGGGATTTAAATGAACTGTCAGAGTTGGTTTTCTTCAAGGAAAATATTTTTCTGATTTAAGAGTTATATAAAAACTTTTATTGAGTATTTTAATTTCATTTTTAAAAATTTTTAAATACTGCAAAAAATAACTTCAGAATCCCTCTGAAAGTATATAGTTTCCTGTAAGTTTGTACATACTATTCTCACATTTATCCTTCTCATGACCAGACATTTAGCTAACTGAAAGTCAGGAACTCCCTACATTTCCCTGAAGGCAAGATCATTGTTGTAATCTGTCTCCTGAGTGATGAGTGAGCACCATAGTCTGTATACATTATAAAGTATGAGGGTTTATTTAGGTCAGCTTTCTGGAGACTGGGAGCCCTATGACTGAGAGGCTGGATCTGATCATGCCCTTCTTGCTGGTGGGAACCTCCAGGTGGCACAGGACATCACATGGCTCCAAGAGCCAGAGCCAAAACAGCCTTGCTAGCAGACACTCTCTCAAGATGAATCTGTGGCCTAATCACCTTTTAAAGGCCCCACCTGACTCTACCTCTTCAACCTCACTGTCCCTTCCTCAATGAACGTGACTTTAGCAACAGCAGGACTTGGACAGGTACATTTAACCTTTCATTTTTTTAATCCAACAGATATTTGGAGCCACTGAAAAATTATTTTAGCTAGAGAAAAAGCAGTATTTCATCTCATAGCAGTATATTTACCTCTATCTGGCATTACCTCCTTACTTAATTTTATAAAGGGTTTTGATGCTCCACAGCTTTGGATGTGCTCAATCCAGAGCCACCTGCCTTACTGCCTTACTTCACCGGGCACCTCTTGGGGCCAGCAGCAGTGGGCTTCATCCTCAGCAGTCTGATTTCCACCCTTGAGCTAGTCAGTTCCTGACATCACATGCTACAAGGGACCAAAGGGCTTGGGTTGTTCTAAAGTAGGAAAGTTTTTACACACAAACTTGGAATCTGCCAACTCTAAATTTCCTCCATTGTTTATTTGTCTCTGGAATGGGGAAGTATGCAGTGTTTGGAAGGCAGTGGGGTCTGAAGAAGTCCAGTCTCAGAGATTAGGTGATTTACAAGTCTGAGGCAAAATAGACAGGAGCAGTTTCTCCTTAGGCGTGGGTGTCTTCTCTTGGCTGGATCAGAGGACTGGACTGAGCCCACAGGGAGGCTTCTTCTCTGGATGAGTCAGCCATCTAGGTGTTGTACTGTGGAGCCCCAGGCATCGGTTGCATACGTAAGGTCAGCCGGTAAATTCAAGGACATTTGAAGATGAGTTTTCAGCACAACCTCGAGGCATCTCTATTCAGATGAAGCAATTAGATTCTGATTTTCTTGGCCCACTAATAGTTTGCCATTCAAGGGGCTGGGGATACAGCTTAGTGGCACAAGCGCCCACCTGGCAAGCCCAAGGTCCTGAGTCCCATTCCCGGTACCAAAAAAAAAAAAAAAAAAAAAATCAACCGTATGCCATAAAAATCATTACTGGAAAAGAACCTCCTTCTGGAGGGCAGCAGTCAGGAGAGTGTGGGGGTTAAAAAGCAGGGCTATTGGAGAACGGCAGTGTTTTTAGCTACCTTGAGGTCTTGGAGGAACCACTCTCCCCCAGGCCTCCATACTAGAAGAAAGGAGCCTGTGGGCCAGGACACTGCTGCCTGTTGTGAAGGGATTCTCCGGTCTCACTTCCTGTACAACTCTGCTGCTACATGGGTTCTAGAGAATTCGGGAAGAAATTTGTTGGGGTAAATTTCTATTTTTTTCAGGGAAGCAAGATGACTGTGACTGACAGTTGATTTTCTGTGACTGACAGAAGAGCAGAGAAGGTGTCTAGAGGGGCTGGCAAGGGGCTGCTGGGGTTTTAAAAGTAGAGGAAAACCAGCCAATTAACCTCTTAATTGAGATCATTATGCTTCCTGAAATCTTCAAGTAAACTAACTTAGGTTTTCACATGAGCCCTCAATTGGCTAAAACAAATCTGCATCATCCTGGGTATTTGACTCCATTTCACATATAAGGTGCAGGGTTTCCAAAGGGTGGATGCCCATCACTGTAACTTTTTAAAATATAGGTGCTTATTATGAATTTAGAAAAGTGGTTTAATTAACTAAAGTTACAAGAAATGTGTTTTGGTTCGCAAATTGTGGTACCTTGGAGGGCTACTTCTCAAAAGTGTCACCAGTTGGGTTGGTGGGTCGTCTTCCATGGATCGAGGAAGCCCTGCACATTGCACAGTGTGAGGAGCCTGAGGTGCTAGGTGACCAGTCCCTGATGAGGAACACCTTGGGGGTCAGCTAAGACTGATCCCTGCAACCCAGGAATGGGATGTGTTTGTGGAGAATGCTAGGAAGCTGTGCAGCACCTTGCAATACCCCTCAAAGGGCTGGATGGAGGACAGTAGCTGCCCTCTTATTTTTACCATCATGTATATGTCTGGATCACTTTAAGCAACTGAAAATTTCTGAGTACACTTTGTTTTTGATTCTAATCCCTTTATTTTTTTATTTTAAAGAGAATAAAAAACCTTAAAAAACATTAAAAATGATACAGAATTTCAAAACAAGGTGATAGAAAATCAACAATAGTTGTTGTATTACTTATTGTTATCTTCAAAGTAGTTGTTCAGCTTACCAGATCCCATTGCAATTTTTGTGATGGCCACAAGATGTCCCTAAGAACTCAATACAACAAGTGGTTCAACCAGGAGTCCTTTTGATGGACCTCAATTGAGAATTCTGCCAAAAGCTGTCCTCAGGCATTTGCCCAGGCTCTTTCATATATATTTTGTTCCCTTTTACAAACGTGTAAACACAACTGTTATTTGAGCACTGTCTACAAATATTGCATATAAGGTGGAGGGAGGAGTGGAGGTAGGGAGGGGTGGAGGGAGGGAGGGAGGAAGGAAAAGGATTTTAGTCTATTGTAACGCTTGTAATCTCAGCACACTGGGAGGCTGAGGCAGAATGATACAAGTGTGATACAAGCGCAGTCAGAGTAATTTATTAATTTAGCAAGACCCTGGCATCAATTAAGGGCTGGGGATTTACCTCAGTGTGAAAGATCTGGGTTCCAACCCCAGTACTACTACTACTACTACTACTAGTAATCCTTGCAAAATTGGTATTAGGTAATTCCAGTTTTAATTTTTTGAAAAACTACCATACAGTGTCTACACTGCACCGTATTACATTCCCACCAATAATACACCTGGTTTCCAGTTTGCCAACATTCTTTCAAGTTTGTTGTTTTCTCTTTTATTCTTTTAATAGTAACTAACATATTGGGTGTGAAGTAGCACCTCACTGCGGTTTTGATTTTTCCTTTTCCTAGTAATTAGTGATAGTGAGTGCTTTGTGTTCATAGGCCACAGGGAATACGGGCTTGATGTTTAATGAGTATGGGATGTCAGTTTTGCAAAATGAAAAGCTTTCAAGAGATGAATGGTAGAGATGGTTGCTCTCTAAAAATATAAGCTGCAACTTAGAAATATATAACAAAAAATATAGAAATATAGCAGAAATATGTAAAATTACTTTAAAATAAATGATGAAAAAATTAAAACTAGCATGTTATCAACCCAAATAGTAGCCATAAAATGAAATTTTCTATGTTGACTCTATTGTTTTTCTATATTAGGGTAATTGAACTCCATAATGATGGGGAAAAATTTATGACTAATCTCTCACTTAATCTGCCCATATCATTGTTTTTTGCTAAGAAACAAGAGTTCAAAATTGAATTAATGTATTTTTATGACTATTTCATAGTTTTTATTTTTGTCTACCTGATACTTAAATTATGAATCAGTAGTAATGTAATAAAAACATCTGTTTTATATCTAGCTTTTCATTTAGACTTCTTGGACAGTTTTTTTAAGAATAAAACCTACATATAATAGAATTGACTTTTTGACTTTTAAATGTTTGTTTTGATTTGATGCTTAAAATATAAATCTGGTAGAGCTTATTAACAATAGGCAGCTGCTGCTGAACCTAATGTGAATTTCTGTTGCTTTCATTCTTCACAGTGGTGCATCCATTGTCCCAGAAAGCTGCCATCAGGAATGTTAGAGTGCCACGGTCACCAGCGCATGGCCTAAAGAAGAAAATATACTTTACAACCCTATGTCTTGCCCCAAATACATTTTACAAAGTACAGCTGTCTCTTCTGCTGGTCCTCTCGGGCCTGGGCTGGCTGATGGCCTCCTCTGGCCTGTGTGAGGAGGATGCTGGGCACCGAGAGCCTCAGGAGGGGCGGGTGGCCTAGGGGTGCTGCGGGTTGGGCTCCAACAGCTCCAGCTGGACATGGGCCCGGCCCCACGGAAGGGAAGGCGCTCCCGGGCGGCGGGTGGAGCCGGGTCGAGTGGAGCTACAGCCCTCCTTGGCAGGGAGTCCTTGCCCGAAGCTGCCCACTCAGAGCCGAAGCGCACGCGGGGTGCATGTGGGGTGCACATGGGGTGCATGTGGGGTGCACATGTGCAAGTGGGGCGCGTGGAATGAGGCTGGGAAGCCTGAGGGCAGAGGAACAATCAGGGGACACAAATGATGCCCTAAATGTAGGAACTAAACTTACAAAGGTCTTAGAAGAAAGCCCGGGGAAAACCTGCATAACTGTGTTTGGCAGTGATTTCTTGGACATGGTTCTGAAGGTACAGGAAACAAAAAATAAGCAACTTTAAGTTCATGAAAATGAAAAATCTTTGTGAATCAAAAGATACTATGCAATAAAAACCCAAGTAACAGAATGGGAGACACTATTTATGAATCATGTCCTATATTGGATTGATAACTAGAGTACACATAGAACTCCTACAGCTCAAAATTCCTAAAACTTAATGCCAAAAAAAGTTGAATGGATAAAGAGCTTGAATATACATTTAATTTTCATCCCCCTCCATGTTTCTCAGTGCTTGTTTGTAGTACACAATGTTTACATTCTTTGTGTGGAGTTGGTACAGGTACCTAACACCTCTTAATTTCTTTTTTCATCCACTTTCCATCTCTCCCCCTCCCTCCTCCTCTGGACATTTACTTACAGGAGACACAAGAACAATAAACACATAAAAATACTCAACATTACAAATGAATAAAATACAAATCAGAATCATATGAGATACCCTTTTACACTCATGAGAATGACTAATCTCAAAAAAATAAATAACTAGAAAATAAATCCATCCAAGAGGATGTGGAGATCAAAACCCTAGGATCCTGTTGATGAGAATGTAAAGTGGCACAGCCACTATGGAAAACAAAACGGTGGTTCTTTAAAAAATCAAAGATTGAATTACCATAAAGTCCCACTCTTCCACTTCAGAGTACGTTACTATAAGCATCAAAAGGAGAGTTTTAGGAGGTGGTTGTAGACCTATGTTCATAGCTATGTCATTCATATAGTGAAAGTAGAAGCAACTAAAGGTTTCATCAGCAATACTTGAGTGGGTAATTAAAATGTGGTACACGCATGTAAGGGGCATCATTCCACCTTCACGAGGAAAGACATTCCCAACCAGGTTACAGCATGGATGAAACTTGAAGTTATTTTTCTAAATGAAATAAGACAAGTATTGTATGAATTGATTTATATGAAGCACCTGGAGTAGTCACATTCACAAAGAGAATGACAATAATGGTTCCTAAGGATTAATAAAGACAGAACATTTGAGGGAATCAAAATGAAGAGTTCTAGGGATAGATGGTGGGGGTTGCATGACAGTGTAAGGTGGTGGATACCACTGGCTTGCAGACTTAAATATGTTTAAACTGAGAAACTTAATATTATGTGTATTTTACCAAAAAGGAAATGTTAAAAAAAGTGCATGGTGATTCACACCTATACTCTCAGTACAGTATTTGGGAGGCAGAGGCAGCAGGATGATGACTTGGTCTTGAGTTTGAGTATGGTTTAAGATATATAGTGATGAGGCAGCATGCAACAGTGCAGAGCAAGCCCCTACGGTCACTTCAGCACCAACATCTGAGAGTAGAATGAGGGAAGAGCTGTCCAGTCACATCGACAGCCAGCAAATGGAGAGCAAACAGGGTGGGGGAGTGTCCTTGGCTGAGAACTATGATCTGGAACCCAGACTGCAATCTGGTGAACACCAAAAGCCAGCCCTTAGCCCTAGCTGCCAAAGAGTAGAAGCAGCCCCCTGGCCTGTGACGGGGGACAAGGGCACGCCCCTCCCTATCCTTGGTGCAAAGCACAAGCAGGCAAGAGGCCTTGGCTGGTGAGTCCACTGCTACTAATTTTCTTCTTAAGACTGCTTTCACTGTTCCACTTATGGAACTTATGGAACTTTCACTGTTCCACTGTTCCACTGCTTTCACTTATGTTCATAAGTTCCAGGATATTAAATGGGCATTATAATTTAATTGTAGACACTGTTTAATTTTTTCTTTAATTTCATCTGTGACCCATTGCTTGTTTAGTAGGGTGTTATTTAATTTCAGTAGGGAGCTTTTGTGGTTCTTTTGCCATTGATTTCCAATTTCATTGCACTATGGTCAGATAATATGCATGGGATAATTTCAATACTTTTGCATTTACTTAAGTTGTTCTATGGGCTAGTATGTGGTCTATTTTAGAGAACATCCATGCTCTGCTAAGAAGAATGTGTTTTCTGATGTAAGGTGGAATCTTCTGTAGACATCTACTAAGTCCATTTGTTCATAGGTTTGGTTCAGTTCTGATATTTCTTTATTTTTTTTCTAATTGATCTATTTCTGACAATTGGGTGCTAAGGTCCCCCATTACAATTTTGTTAGTGTTTATTTGATTTTTCTTGTCTGTTTATATTTGTTGTATATAGGTACATGCTTGTATATTTGGTGCATATATGTATGATTGTTATCTTTTTTTAAGAGTTTTCCTTTAACAAGTATGTAGTGGCCTTCTTTATTTCTTTTGATCAATTTTGGTTTGATGCTCACATTGTCTACAAATAAGTGAGCTATTCTTGCTTTTTTTCTGTTTCTTTCCTATGGCGTATTGTCATCCTTTGACTTTTAGTCTATGAATGTCTAGACTGAAATGTGCTTCTTGAATGCAGCATGTTGTTGAATCTTATGTCCTGATCCATTCTACCAGTCTATTTCTTTTGATTGGTGAATTGAGACCATTTACATTGATGGTTATAACTGATATATACTGGCTTTTCTTTGGCTTTGTCATGTAATTCTCCTGTTGATGGTTCCCTGTCTTTCCCCTCTGTTTAATTGCTTCCCCTGTCTGGTTGCTTCTTTCTACTGGTACTCTTTGAGCTGTGGGCTTTGTTTTCTCTTTTTAGAGTATCTTTCAAAACTCGTCATAAGGCTGATTTGGTTTTCATTAATTTCTTCAGTTGTTCTTTCTCATGGAAGTATTTTATTTCTCCCTAAAAGATAATTTTGCAGGATACATCAATTGAGGTTGGAAGTTATTTTCTTTCAGGGTTTGAAATACTTAATTCCAAGGTCTCCTTGACTTAAAGATTTTATTGACAAATCTGTTGTGATTCTGATGGGCTTTCCTTTATAGGTGATTTTTTTTTTTCTCCAACAGCTTTTAATATTCTATTTGTGCTGAATTTCTGTGATATTATTATTATGTACCTTCATGTAGATTTACTTTGGAGTCTGTATGTCTCATCTGTATGTCAAATTCTTTTGCATGCTTAGGAAGTTTTTTTCTGTTATTTCTCTGAGCACATTTTTTATGTCATTTGTGCTGACTCCTACATTTTTCTTAACTCCAGTCAGTCCTATGTTGTTTTTCATTGCATCATCTTGTAGTTGTACGATTTTTTTCCTAGTCTCTTGCTGTTTTTAAGAGATCTTTCTTTTTGTGATCGCTAACTATGATCATGTCTCTAGGTCTGATAGTCTACCTTCTTACAGCTTTGCAAACTTAAAATGGATTTTTTAATTTCCTGAATATCTATTTGAATCTGTTTCATGGATTCCATTTCTTTCCTTTGTTGGGCATTCCTGGTTTCCATTATTTTTCTATGCTTCTCTATTTTTTAATCTACATTTACTCTAGATATGCTAAGCAAGTCCTTCATTATAGTCACCTTCTTTTACCTTGTGATTATTTTTGTTTTGATATCCTCTATAGCTATATATATAATTATATAATTATTTCTTCTACTGTTATTCCAGTGAATTCAGATGGATAGCTTCTCTTTTCTTCTATCTTGTTTTCCCCTGGATTTTCCTGGGTGGGCTGGAAGTCTGTAATGCATTTTGCTTCTGAATCTTGTCATTTTCTATCTTTTAAAATTTTAATTTGTTTTCAGAGTTGTATTTTTCTTATGTGATGTATCTTTACACTAGTATCAAAACTTCTTTAGGAAATGTCTATTCCTCCAAGATGTCTTCTAGGTGTAGTTGGCTACTGGTCTTTGTGTCTGTTCCAGGATCCTATCTTTTCACTTTATTAGGGATGATGTATTGCTATCTATTCAGCTCAGCACCTAGTCCTCTGGTGCTGGTCTATGGGGATCTTTGTTACCCCAGATTATCACAGTGTTATCATAAAAGAATTAACAACTGATTATAGTAAGTACGGCATCTTGACTAAAGTAGTACAATTAGTAATAACAATATCATCAAGCACAGCCTAGAAACTGATAATCTGTGGTGACTACTAATTTGGTATCTCTAACTATAAGAGCAAGATCTATAGTCATATAACAATGTCCAGCATAAACCAGGAATTTGTATGCAGTGGGTTTCTCCTTGGTAGGGTGATTTCATCCAGTGTGGAAAGGGAATTTAAGAGGGACAGGAGATAAAACAGAGTGATAACTGAAGAGAAATACAGTAGAAGCAAGGCTGGAGGACTAAGGATGATCACCCAAATTTTAAGAAGCTTCAAAGAGGACAGGAGAGAAAGAAATATGGAAAAAAAATCTTGAGGCAAAACAGAATGACTCAGACAGTGTTCATTCACCTATAAATCTCTGAGAATACTGAAAGACTGGTGAGGAAAGAAACAGACAGGACAGAGAAAACAAACAATAAGATCAAAACCTATGCAGGCCCTCAAAATAAAAAAAATCAACAATAATTCCTTTGTTTTTTATTTTAAAAATAAAAGGATGAAAACATTAACAGACAGACAACCTTTTACAAAATAGCAAAAGAACAGTACAGACAATACAGAGTTACAAA